ATATTGTCCACTGGTTCCCATGATCTATCCTCCTCACCATAGCCTTTCCAATGAACCAAGTATTGAAGTTTGTTGCGGAAGATCCTGGAGTCAAGAATTTTTTCCACCTCGTATTCATCTTCACCATCCACGAGGACTGGTGGTGGGGCAGGCAAGGCTCGACCAGGGAAAGTATTTTCATGAAAAGGTTTAAGCAGTGCCACGTGAAACACCGGATGTATTTTCATGGAATCCGGAAGTTGCAGACGGAAGGTGACTGCATTGATCTGAGCGATTATCTTAAAAGGTCCCATGAACTTTTGACCCAATTTATGAGAAGGAATCCTAAGCTTAAGATTCTTTGTTGACAGCCAAACCTTGTCACCAACATGATAAACTGGGGCCTCCTTTCTGTGCCTATCAGCAGCTCTTTTGTAACATTCCTGAGCCTCCGAAAGAGTCTCCTTCAACAGTTCTTGGGAATCTCGTAAGGCGGTTAGCCGGTCAGTGACTGCAGGAATGGGAGTAGTAATTGGGAGACTCACTAGAAAGGTTGGATGGTAACCATAATTGGCAAAAAATGGGCTCAGAGAAGTGGAGCAGTGTTGGGCATTGTTATAGGCAAACTCCGCCGTGGGTAGAAAATCCAGCCAGTCATCCTGCAGGTAACTAATATAGCACCGCAAATATTGTTCTAAAGTCTGGTTGGTTCGCTCAGTCTGTCCATTACTTTGTGGATGAAAAGCTGAAGACAGATTTACATTAATACCTAGAATAGAACAAAAATATTTCCAAAAATGAGATGTAAACTGCACTCCCCTGTCAGAAATTACTTCATCAGGCACTCCATGCAAGCGAAATATTTCCCGAATAACAAGGTCAGCAGTCTGTTTAGCTGAAGGGAGACCACGAGCTGGTATGAAATGACTCATCTTGGTTAACCGGTCCACAACAACAAGAATAGTAGTGTGTTCCTTAGAGGGAGGTAGTTCCACAATAAAGTCCATGGATATAGATCCCCAGGGACGATGAGGAATCGGAAGAGGCTGAAGCAAGCCAACAGGGGATGAGCGAGGAGTCTTATGTCTGGCACATACATCACAAGAGGACACATACTTCTTAACATCCTCATAATATTTAGGCCACCAAAAGGATCGGGTAAGTAGTTCTTGTGTCTTTCGGATTCCTGGATGACCTGCTGGTTTAGAGTCATGGTAGAGGCGTAAAACGTCCAGTCGCACTGATTCTGGAACAAACAGACGTTGTTGAAAAATCCAAAACCCATTAAGCATGGTCATATGAAGATCACGAGGAGGATCACGAAAAACTGGATCTTTAGAGTAGCCCTTTTTAATGCGAGACATTAGATCAGAAGGAAAGGTAACTCCTAAAAATCTGCTCTCTGGCAAGATGGTGGCCTTGGTTACTGTAGTATGGAGGGGGTCAGCTATCCTAGACAAGGCATCCGCCTTGCCATTTCTGGAACCAGGGCGGTATGAAATAAAAAAATTAAACCTTGAGAAAAATAGGGACCAGCGTGCTTGTCTGGCTGACAGTCTCTTAGCGGATTGGATACATTCCAGATTTTTGTGATCTGTGAGGACAGTAATTGGATGGGTGGCTCCCTCCAAGAGATGTCTCCATTCGGTGAAGGCAGCTTTTATAGCCAAAAGTTCTTTATTCCCTATGTCATAATTTCTTTCTGCTGGTAACATCTGGCGGGAATAGAAGGCACATGGATGTAACAACATCTTAGGTCCAGTCCTTTGAGATAGTATAGCCCCAACAGCTGAATCAGAAGCATCTACCTCTACAGTAAATGGCAATTCTGGCTGAGGATGTACCAAGATAGGGGCAGATGTAAACAGAGTCTTTAATCTGGAAAATGCAGTGTCAGCCTTATTGGACCACTGAAAAGGAGTCCCTTTACGTGTAAGTTCAGTGATCGGTGTAATAACGGCAGAGAAATTCTTAATGAAACGCCTGTAAAAATTGGCAAACCCCACAAATCTCTGTATATCTTTTTCATTCTTGGGGATGGGCCAGTCCAGCACAGCTTTAATTTTACTTGCGTCCATACTTAAACCTTTAGGAGTTATTACATACCCCAGGAACTGAATTTCTGTTTGTTCAAACTCACATTTTTCCAGTTTAATGTATAGGTGGTGGGTACGAAGGCGCTCAAGAACAATGCAGACCTGTTTTCTGTGATTTTCAAGATTATCAGAAAATATCAGGATATCATCCAAATATGCCACAACAAACTGATCCAGGAGATCCCGTAGTACATCATTGATTAGATGCTGAAAAGTTGCGGGGGCATTACAAAGCCCAAATGGCATTACTAGATATTCGTAATGTCCGTACCTGGTTCTGAAAGCTGTTTTCCATTCATCATTTGGTCTTATGCGAACCAGATTATATACCCCCCGTAGATCAAGCTTCGTAAATATTTTAGCTGAACGAAGTCTCTCCAGAAGTTCAGGAATGAGAGGCAAGGGATAACGGTTTTTAACAGTGATTTTATTAATGTCCATGTAATCGACACATGGCCGTAGACTGCCATCTTTCTTTTCTACAAAGAATATAGGAGCTCCTGCTGGAGAAGTGGATGGTCGAATAAAGCCTTTGGCAAGATTTTCTTGTATGTATTCACGAAGTGCTTTCAATTCAGGCTCAGAAAGGGAGTATATGCGGCCAAATGGGATAGCAGCTCCAGGTAGCAGCTCTATGGGGCAATCATAAGGCCTGTGAGGTGGAAGCTGATCAGCATTCTTCTTATCACAGACATCTGCAAAATCCCGATATTGTAGCGGAAGCTTAGTTAAGTTTGCAGCAACCATTTCATTAATTGTTGTGGTAACAGGTGTCGCCTTAGAGGGTTGACAATTCATTAAGCAGTGTTCTGAAGGAAAGGACAAAGTTCTAGTCTTCCAATCAATCTGTGGGTTATGCAGAGCAAGCCAGGGTATACTCAAAATCACTGGAAACTGTGTTGAGGAAATTAGGTGGAAAGATATAGACTCATGGTGATTCACTTCCAGAATCAATTTTAAGGGCACAGTCTCATGTGTAACCGGGCCTGACGTAAGTGGGGAACCGTCTACTGTTTCCATTAACACAGGTGAAGATTTAGGGATAGACTGAATTTTATTTCCTGCTGAAAATTTAATGTCCATAAAGTTTCCTCCTGCTCCGGAATCTATCATAGCTGTAGTTGAAATTGTATTATTACCATATTGCAAAGTGATAGGCACCACCAAATGAGGATGTTGAGTCATCATACCTTCTTCACCCTGAGCCAGAGAAAATAAGGGTTGTGTGACAGAATCCAGTTGGTCTGAAATCTGGGATTGGTGTTGAATCTGTGCACCCTCAGCAGTCATAGCTATTGTTCTTTTAGACTTGTTAGGGCACTTGATGGCATAATGCCCTGCACTACCACAATACAAGCATAAGTTGTGAGTGCGTCGCCACTGTTTTTCTTCATTGGATAATGGCCCTCTTATTAGATCTACTTGCATAGCCTCAGGTTCAGAGTCTGTAGGTGTTTGTGGGGTCGGAGTAGAAATTCTTGAATAGAAAGTAGGAGTAGCACTTGGTTTAAAAGAGCCCTGTCTTTCCAATCTTCTTTCTGAAAGTCTCCGATCAATACGGATAGCCAACCGCACAAATGCATCAAACTTAACAGGAAGATCAACACGAGCTAGCTCATCTTTTATAGCTTCTGAGAGACCCCTTCTGAAGTGGAACCTCTGGGCTGATTGGTTCCAAGTAGTATCAGTAACCCACTGTCTGAATTCAGCAGCATATTCAGCCACAGATCGCCTCCCTTGATGTAAATGAAGGAGAGTGGCTTCTGCTGTAGCACAGCGATTGGGATCATCAAAAACTAGGCACATGGCCTCTAGAAAGTCTTTTAAATTTCCCAAGATTGGACTGTCCTGTTCCAGAAAAGGGGAGCCCCAGGCCAGGGCTTCATCTTTGAAGAGGGAGAAAATAAATCCCACCTTCTCTCTTTCAGATGGAAAACGGTTGGGTAACATCATGGAATGCAAACGGCATTGATTTAGGAAACCC